TCTCTCTTCTTCTCTCTCTCTCTCTCTCTCTCTCTCTCTCTCTTTCTCGCAGATATAATAAACGCGCGACGTGTGTTTGAGTAAAAAACACGATTATTCGCCGCTCCGAGCGACTTTTTATTAAAAACGTTCCGGTTAACGTACCATCGTAATCGTTCTATCCGTTATCGTATGTACATTAGCGCGCGTCGCGATTTCTCGCCGATTAACTCTCCCGCCTTCTCCTCGTTCTGCGCTCTAAATCAGGGACACCTGTTTAGCGAAGCGGGCGAGGAAACACGCGAACCTCTGCCGCACACCTGTGCCGCCGCCGCCGGTGTGTACGGCACCTTTATCCGAGCCGTTAGTTACGGACGCGACTCGACGCGTCAGTAACAACAGGCACGCCCGCGAAGTTTGCCCACCTGTCCTGATAATGTCGGTTAATATCATGTAAATTGTAATTAATATTCATGGGGGTTAATTCGCCGCGCCGCGGTCGGCCCGCCGCCGACGTCGGGGACGAAGTTTTAGCGAAAATTTACGGTCACCGCGAAACATATTTCGGACGTACCGCAGCTACCCGCGTCGCTGCAGCGCGAGCAGAGCTGTACGATCCTGTCCCTCTGTGCTAGCTCTGTGTTTCGCTCTGATTAATCACACGACGGTCGATCGCGACGAGATTATCGATCGATTGTTTCGAGCAATTTGCATAATTAAGCGCGCTCGGGCGGCGACGTTAAACCGTCTCCGCTGAGGAGCATGACGGAACGGCGTTCGGGAAGATTGGCGACGAGCGCAGGGGACGAGAAGCGTGATATTTAAGTATTTCGACGAGATGCGAGCGAGATGGCCCGATAATGACTGATGGAACGGAAGGAAGGCGTTTCTCGATTCTATCACAGGACTCGCGTTTAAATTTCGCCGAACATCGCTCGAGAAACAGAAATATCGAGTGTGCATGGCAGGAGGGAGGGAGAGAGGTGCTCGATGAAATATAATTAAAACGTCCCGAGAGCGGAACCTCAGAATTCCCGTTATGACGTAAGAACATAGAGGTGCGGGTGGAGCGGCTGGTATTGTATTAATTTCCGAACTGGAACGCGTTTTCCGATGATTAAATTTCCGAACTAGCTACGTCGCTCGCTCTTTTCGCCGTAGACTGCCACGGTCACCCCGGTGCAACAAATTAGGCACAGTGCAATTAATTAAACAACGCGTAACACGTAGTGCTTCGCGGCGAACGGGCGAGCTAGCGAGCGAGCGAGCGAACGAACCAGCGCCGTGGACGCTCCCCGTGAAATTGCATTTGCGACCTAGACGGAAAATAATTTGCAACGTTAACAAGAATTCGGAATAGCGAGTCATTAGCATAGCTCGGGCGGCGCATATATATATATATATGTGTGTGTGTGTATACATGTATACATTAGCGAGGTGGTTCTTCTTCGTTCGAGGAAAATGTTTACATATAATAGCGGCACGTATAACTTCAGTGTTGTAATTAAAATAATGGCGCGATGCAAATTACACGAAGCATTGCGTCATAATATTACTCCAGAAACGCTCCTCGCGCGCGCGCAACGCGCCGCTGCATATTTTACTTAAAGTGAGTGTGAGAAAGAGAGAGAGAGAGAGAGAGAGAGAGAGGGGGGAGAGAGAGCACTTGGGCTCTAGCTGAACCCTTACACAAAAGCCGATTTTAATATCCCTCGTAATTCGTGTGCGTTGTGCCGAATAGATTGAACTTTGGTCCGGTCGACGAGAAAGAAAGAAAGAGGGCAAACAGTGGGGGAGAAGAGGAACGAAAGATGCGAGAATACAGGAAAATAATTTCCGATCGTGCGCAGTTTGTGATATCGACGTTTAACAGAGGCTTTATTAATAGGTACGTTCTCGATACTAGTCGTGCGCAACCCCGTGGGCATGAACCGACTTGGTGGTGGAAGAAGGCAGCTTCACTTGTGGATGACAAACGAAATTATATACACGTCTGCATTAAAAATGTATTCATATGTACTCCTGTAATGAATTCAGTTCATCGGGCGCGATTTATTCGAGACGAAGTAAAAGAGATAAATTGCACACGATCGTTGAGGGGATAATTAATTACAACTTTCTTTTCATGGATTCATGAAATTATGGTTATTTATCGACAACGAATTATAAATACCAGCCTCAGAGTTCCGTATTTTATTATTTCCAATGAGTTCGTTGAACGTTTCTTAAAATTAGAAGCGTCCTACGCAACGAATAATAAAATACGATACAGCTAAAAATATATCGCTGCTCACATCTCAGTATCTTATATTTTGCATCCCCCCGTTTTGGTTTCGCGATTCAACATTCTGTTTCTGACACAGGACAACTATTGGCGCTAATATTGATGCTATTCGCGTAGGTATGATTCGATTGGGAAAATTATGTTAATATTAACTAACACGACGCCGACGAGAATCCCATTAATGATTTTCGAGTTGACAGTATAATTTAATCATTCGACGAGAAATGTAAATTTAACTCTGAGAGTAACATCCGCGAAATCTTGACGCTGAAATAACATCATAGGTCTCGCAGACCCACGAAAAAAAAAGTTTGAATCGTGGTTTCTTGCATTTGTTTAGTCCTTTATAAATTAGTTTATCATCAACTTTATCAAAGTTTATCACCAATTTTTATTCATTTTTTACAAATTAATTAATAAATAATATTAAATAATAAATTAATTTTTCAAGTTTTTATTCATTGTCTTGGTCGATTGGTTGGTCGATTGCCGCCAGGAAAAACCAGTTACTTCTCATTCGATCAGGTTGATAATAATAATAGTCACGGGCCCAGCTTTTTTTCTAAGTACAGTCAATTTGACAAGAGCGTGTCCGGCGAAACTTTTACCTGTAAACCGTTAGACAGGGGAATTCCAACGAGAGCAAGTAAAGGGAGCCTTCCCTTAAGATACCTTGTAAAGAAAGTCTCAGTTACCGTTCGACCTTAGTGAATTTCAAATTGGCAAAAACTTTTCTGGTTATCTGATAATACGTGTGTATTTTTTTCATTTCATTACAATAAACAGTTTTCTTGCGAGTTATGCACGCTCCTATCAAACACGCTGCAACAAAGAAATAAGAGTGAATTACAATGTCTTGCACGAAACGTGGAGAAGGAAACGACGAGGGAAAACGTGCGTGGTCCCCGTACACGTTACTGTTAAGGTTAACGATACACTTGCTCGGCGTCGCGGTATGTGCGTCGCTTGTGGGCTCGCAACATAACGACGCAGACACGTGCGCGAGTACCAAAACAATCGGTACCTTCAAGGGGGTGGGGGGGGGGGGGGGGCAAAAAATCATCGCNGCATATCAGCACAGACTTCTATATAACATACCAGACCGCGTACCGCACTGCCTATCAGATGTACCCGATCTTTATGTATGCAATTTGTATACAGGTTGGAGTGCGAAATAAGAGCGCAAAGAGTGCGGCTGGCGCTTGAACGATTACAGGTTATAAAATACTCGAAGAAAGATATCTCACGACCTTTGTGGTTCATACTTAACATTTTCGTGCAAAAAAACAGACCGAATATAGCGAGCGGAGAAATTAAGACAACGCTCGTGAAACACTTCGGATCGGCAAACTGTTAAATTATTAATTATAAATTAATTAAGATTGTCACACATGCTGTACTCTAAATATCTATTACGCGATAACGCGTGATCGGCCGTTTGGTGAGAACTCACATCACGCGATATCGCGTGATTGGCAATGAGCGTGTCAAGCATCTGACTGTATGATAATAGCTAGAAGCTTGGTTTCGAATGACCCCAGGTGATTAATCCCAGGTTAAGATCAACGGACAATAGCGGATGTGTTGTACTTCGAAATTTTCCTCACCGTCCGCCTAAGTTCGACGGAATTTGCAGTCAAGGCGGGGTGAAAAAGTCGACTCGGGGAATTTGGGTCACCCTCGCCCCGTTACGATTCAGGTTTAATAAACCTTCGGAAATACCTTGCGAGAAAGCAGTCGATAAATTAGTCGAGCGCCAGATAGATAGATATATAGATAGATAGATAGATAGATAGATAGAAAGAGAGAGAGAAAGAGAGAGAGAGAGAGAGAAAGAGAGAGATAAAGAAAGACGAGTCCGGCGATTAGGAGAGCGCGATTCAATGATACCGCGCGCGTGCAGCGGCGCCCGTGGCGGGTCGCGGTACCGCACGCCGGATTTTTCGCGGGCGCGTGACGCCTCACAAAGGGGAGCGCCGGCTCAAAACCATCCATAACATGGTTACCGTTTCTCGTGCGATTCGTTTCTGCACACGTCGGCCGGCCTCCTCCGCAGGGACTATGACGACGACGAGGGCGTCCGTTCTCTCACGAAAGCAGAAGGGAGCGCGAAAGAGAAAGAGAGGAGGACGGAAGGTCGGGGCCGGGAAGAGAGAGAGAGAGAGAGAGAGATAGCCGACTCGCATCTCGTCGGCGCGACCTCCGACCCGCCGGTGTTTTATCAACGACCACGTTATGACGCCGGCATTCGCAGTAAAAGAAAATGGCGTGGGACATTTACTGCTACGATTCTCCAACGCATTACCGCGCCGGCCTATCCTGCCACGATCGACGAAATGCTCCTCCACTCGCCGTTACTCTCCGTGTCGCCCTTGTCCCCCCGGGGGACCCCCCGATGTATCCTCCTTACGAACGAATATAACGCGAGAGACCCGGAGATGTTTCGTTACGTTTGAATGCGCGTCAGGTTTTTTACGTTCACTTTGCGTATCTTTCTCTCTCTCGTTTCGTGCGCCGGGAATATGGCGCGCTGATTAAGGGGGATTGCATCTGCGAATGTAATAAAGCACAGGGTGGCACGTGTGCGTCTTTTACGTGACAATTTGCGGCGGAACCGTCCGCCGTCTCGGGAGGGCAGAAACAACGATGACAGGATTCAACGACTAACGAATGGTGAAATCTGACGTACGGCTGGGCGTTTAAATTACAACCGGAAAGCGAATGAAGCTGGACTCACCATTGGTCGCGTGGATCGGGCAAGGATCTGTGCACGGAGATGAGGTCGCTGGCGTACTGGTTGAAGGCGTTGTTGAGCCAGCCGTCGTCCACCAGCTTCTTCGTCTGCGCGGATATGTTGGTCGGCAGTATCACCGGTCTGCCCATCTCGCCGGGCGCGGCAGCGTCCGGTTCCCGCGGCGCGGCCAGCACTCCACCACCTGGACGACGTGAAAAAGCAGCGGCTGAGCGACGTCGCGCGAAAACGTCGGCGAACCAATCGGTCGCTCGACGGACGAAGCCTCTGTTCGTTCATTATTTCGCGATCCACCATGCGATTTGCCACAACCAACAACTATCTCTGATATTAAAATGATTCTCAACCCAATTATTTCACTAGAGAAGCATGAAAATCGATAACTGGCTTGTATCCGGGCACGTAAATTTCAATTTTATACCTTCAACAGGATTTTAGATGACAAAAATGACACGTCACTTTTGGTATTTTTCCCCCCTACTTTTAATTCCTAGACTCTTGAATAACATTAATTATCTCAACGCAACTATCGAAGCTGAAATACCGCGTGTACTGCGGTGAATTGTACATCGCGAGGAAATCTACTTCTCTAAGAGTCTTATTACATTTGCATCGAATGAAGGAATCTCCTACATGCTTCTCGCGCACCGACGAGGCTGAAAGTCGAACGAAGCCGGGGACTCTCGAGGAATTTGTGGTATTGTTCGTACACATCGACACACGCGACTGCGTTCCGCGATTTGGCTCCGTTTAATTTCCGTTTTCCACACTGTCGTCCTGGGTACAGTCCGGGGAAAAAGAGAACCGCGCGCGACGTCGACTCGCTCCTCGACGGCGCGACCCGGCGCCGCGGAAAAAGGGTATCGGGAATTGAATTTTCAGCACATCCACATCCGCCCGGCATACCACGCGCCTGGGTATACCTTCTAAGAGCTTTCTCGCATAAACTCCGGTTTTATTTGCCGGCGCCATATTGCCGGAGCATAGCTGCTAAAGCCAACGTAAGGTAAGTACACCGCGCGATATGGCTGGCTGGCGAGCGGGCGGGTGGGTTGGTTCTCGCCCGCCCGCTTGTCCTGAAAATAATTTTATCCCGCCCGACAAAGTTGGGCCCCGGTGTGTACGATGCGGCAATAAAGAGGACGACAAATTGCTTTAGTGCCGCGACCCCGGCCCGCCACGAAGTTCGGCGGTGAAACTCGTGTCGTGCATCACGGCGCCGCGCTCTGGACTACATACGGTGCGCGCTTTTCTTCGCGAGAGAGATCGCCGCGCTGTCTCCTAGTTTCTCTCATCTGGTATAGCGAGAAGATAGAGTCCGGCCATTTTTTGTATCTTTTTCATCGGTTCATCTCGCAGACCCTCGAAAATGGCAGAACAATTACAGTGCAAAGAGATCGTGTATAAATTTAAAAAATGAGCTTATATATACATATATGTGTTCGTTCATTATTTCGCGATCCACCATGAGATAATTAATGTTATTCAAGAGGAATTAAAAGTAGGGGGAAAAAATACCAAAAGTGACGTGTCATTTTTGGCATCTAAAATCCTGTTGAAGGTATAAAATTGAAATTTACATGCCCGGATACAAGCCAGTTATCGATACTTGTAAATTGAAACTGTGTAATGTGTAAAATTGCGACGCGATTTTACACAGGACACATTACACAGTTTCAATTTACAAGTTTTAATTGATCTTCTACGGGAACTAATCTCCGCCGCACAAAGACGCCATTTGACCGGACTCTACCTGGAGACACCAGTCTGGTGCGCGCGAGAGACGAGTCTGGTTCGTTTGAACGCCGTGGTGTTCACGCGCGGAGGCGTTTAGATTCATTAGCACGCCATTTCTCGCGTGCGAGCGAGCGCGCCTATGAGTTCACGAGAGGCGAAACACCGACGACGACGGCTCTGCCGCGCTCCTCCTCTAAGTTCATCATTCGAGGATTCTCGCTTACAGACAAGCAAGCAGCTAATATATCGCGTCTCGCTCGTTCGTTCGCGCCTGGCGCGAAACACACCGACAATATTTCCCCGGGATGATCCGTGTGCTATGAGAGCTCTATTCTCGTACCTGTTCGCGTCTGGCAATAAGAGGATGCACGCGAGCCGACTGCCAAAGGTTCCTTATTACGCCGGTGGCGACGGTGCCTCGGGAGAACCTTCGCCTTTGAGGATCCTCCTCCGGCGAATGCACAGTCCTATCTCGCAACGCAACGTTCTTCCTCGACGAAGACGGTGGCGGCGGTTTGCTCTTATTTTCCGTTGCTCGACCCGCGAAAAGTATAAACGACTGGGATGTCGCGGAATGGGAGAGCCAATTCTTAGAAATATTTCGCCACGGTGGAATAAATCGCCTTCGAAGCGGGCCGTCTTTGCAACGGCGTGAGAACGTTTGGCCAGCGCGGACTCGATTGTTAAAACCGACCCGATGTGTCGTGGAGCAGCAGACTAAAAGAGATTAAAAGAATCGCGCGGACTGACTGACCGATTGAACGGTCAGATTGGCGCCGTTAAAAGAGGAAAAGCTCCAGCCTCGAAATGCGGAGAGCGCGTTAAGCCACAGGTGGCCCGAAGTAACCCGACATTCTCCGGTATGATTCATGCGCGGCTCATGCACATTCCAGAAGGGACATCTATCAGCTTATTAAGACCTAACTCGCGCTTAACCCATGTGTGGTATGTCAGCCTATTAAGCCGTTTCCTCACACGCGTGATTCATGCACGAGCCAAGCGGCCAAACGCAACCCACCGTCGCCGATCGAAACCCGGTGAGATGTCGTGTCAAGGGTAAACGACGCGTTCATGAACGCGTCGGGAGAGGAGAGACTTCTGCCTGTCTCTGCTTCAAGAAAAGTTCACGTCGGTGCACGTCGGAAGCGGCGTCCGAAGGTTCTTTCCTCTCGGCTTTCCTCACGTCGGTCGCGCGAAATCCGGGAAAAAACGGAATTCCCGACGCGCTGAAGAGACACCGAGAGAAATCAAATACGACACTGCCGCGACGCCGAGTGCATAAAAAATAAGACGCCGAATATGAGAAGTGACGGGTTTACAGCAGGTCGAATACGATTATGTTCGCGTTGACGCGGTGTTACTAATCGAGTTGAAGTGCCGCAACGCCAAATACATAAAAACAACGAGACGACAAATACGAGAAATGACAGATCTGACAAGTCGTATGCGACTATTTCGCGACATTACCAATTGCTTATCCGGAATTTTCGTACCCATCAGCCTTTCGATTAAGATGTCTCGGAATTGAAATGTCGTAATAAAAAAGGCAATAGCATTTTTCTTACGTCATATTGACGTAAACTTTCGATCGCGACCAGTTTGTTTAAGATTAATGCCGTCAATCCCCAGACAGCGCAATATTTATAAAATATTTTAAAAATATAGATATTAAGTATTTTGCAAATATTCAAATGTCCGGGAAAGTCAGGCATGAGAAAGATTATGATAAATATTCAAAAATATTTATTAAGAATATTTTTTATAAATAATAAAAACACAACTTCACTAAAAACACTCACAGTAAAAACAATTCACAGTAAAAACATGACTTCATTCACAGAAAAAATAAACCACGTTTTATTTAGTTATGAGAAATATTTATCATAAATATTTTTGAATACTTATCATCTTTCTCATATTTAATTTTCCCGGACATTCGGATACTTATAAAATATTTAATATCTATATTTTTATATTAAATAAAAAATTTAATTAAAATTAAATTAAATTAAATTAAATATTAAATATTAAAACTAATAGTATTAACATTAAAATATTTTATAAATATTGCGTACAGTCTGGGGTCGTAAGTTTTCGAAATATTACCTACGAAAAAGACAATTCTTTCTGGTCTGGCGAGTTCAGTTTCTCGTATTACACACGTATACATGCAAGGTGGGTTTGTCCCTCGAGCCACATTCGTAATTCTCATGTGCGTGCATGTTTACATGTATGTAATATGGATGAACGGTAAGTACGCACACATTTCTCGACATATCTTTCAGCAGTTCCACAACTGCTGTTTGGTGCACAAGTTTGAATGTGTGCGATGTAGGTGTAAGTAATAAGTATGTATAATACATCGTTCTTCCAGGCACTCGCATTTGACAATTAACTTCTGGAGAAAGGGTATTAACCGTGTCGTATGACTTACATGATGCATAATTCATAAATAATGCACAATCAATGTCATATGGGGTAAAGTGTCCGAATTCCGGATAGTAGAAGGTTGCTCAATAATTTTGTTTGTTTTTATTTAATTTATCTATGTTTTTTTTTATTTATTTAATTGTATTTCGTTTCATTTCACGTTCAGAACCATACGTAATCTCTTTATATTTTAATTTTTAGTCTATTTCTTCTTGCAAAAAACGCTTTTTTACGCTTTGTTTACAAAATATTCATTAGAGAAAAGTACCCTATCATTTGTATCTGTTTAAATTCTGACCAAATGGGATTGTTAAAAATTTGGAAAAAATACATATCGAGTTTTAATAACAAGTGCCGAATGTTAAAAGTTACAATGCTACGTAACGTGGAGCGGAAGTTTCAATACTTATTACAAATTCCTAATATTCTTTCTCATATTCGTATATATTTTATATATCTTACAACATATATAAAATATAACGATTGTAGTTACGAGTACCAGACATTTTTCTGTCGGTAAAGAGGTGAGAGAACTTTCCGTTCGCTCGCTCGCGAAAAATTACCTTGCTCGGGCCCAGCCTGATTGATTCTCGCCTTGTTGAGCGCAGACCCGGGCGTCTCTTTCCTGAAGGGTGCCGCCGGTGGCACAAAGCCGTTGGCCGCTTGCGGCATCGCGACGCCCGACGGCGCCAAGCCCTGAACGGCGGCCGCGGCCGCCCGGTCCTCCGTGTAAAGTAGGAAACAGACGGTCAGCCACACCGCGGTCGCCAGCACCGCCACCTTCAGCCACAGGGACCTTCTCCTGGGGAAGCCCATCCTGCTCGCCGCTCTCTTCGACCCTGGGCCTTTGTGCGCCTGCGATCGACACCTTCCTCCTCGCGTCGCCCGCGCGCTCGCTGCGATTATCGTGGCTTCTCTAGCGTGCGGCCTCGAAATGTCGTGTTACCTCAGCAACATCCTCCCGGCCCCGTCCGCCTCGACCTGCCAGCAACGAGCCGCCGAGTGACGCCGGGAGAGAGAGAGAAGTCCAGCCTCTCGAGCGTTGGTCCTTCTTCCTCTCCTTTCTGACGCGATCTAATTAAACGCCCGGCTGATAAGAGGAGATCGCGTTGCTATCTTGCGATTCAGCAGGAACCGGTCGGGAATTCCACACGGTCAGGGTCGCGAACTTTCGACGAGTCACTGACGCGCGAGCCGAACTGTTGTTCTTCGTGAGCGGCCAGTGTCCCGCGTCATCATACGTCTCTCTCGGTAATTTAAACGTCGCTATCACGAGGCTGGTCTCTGGGAATATCGTAGTAGGCGGACAAGATAAGCGGATGGATTACACACACACACGCGCGTGCGCGCGCGCGCGCCGAGTGACACCGAACAGGCCGTTTAATTACGTGAAAGTAATTCCGTGGTAATTCGCGATGTATGCATAGATGTACGGTCGATTCAGACGTCTGCGTTTTAATAATGCGGCGATACGTTTGCCAATCGATATGTCGCGTTTGATTTATCCTCCCGTGGGAAAAGTTAGATAACAGTTACGGATTACGGACCGTCACTGATTGAACACGATTAGAGATATTCTATTAGCGATCTTCGTGGATACGTGTGCATATGTGTCGACGATATGTATGTTTTCGGGTCGTTCCTGACGTCACCGCATTTCCCTCGTCACCTGAAATTATACAAAAATACGACAATCGGTATCAGGAGTATGAAGATAAAGGGAGATCCTAATTATATGTATACACACACACAGGTCTGTGCACCGAAAAGAAACACGCCTCTCGTAATCGGTTGAATTTTGCAAAATGGTACATGACTTTTCCGCTCAGTCTCACCCGTTTCACCTCGGCAACCGGGAACGGTTTGGGACACCTTGTATAATCAAAGGACAAATATTGCTAAAATTGGATGATTTCCGATTTTGATAGTGCGAGTGACTTGTTTTCTTCTATGTATATTACCTGCACTATTAAAGCCGAAAATCGTCTACAATTTTAATATTGTTCTTCGATTTATATTTTGCAAGTATTTTTCACTAGTTTCGTACTCCCTGCTCTTAAATCCTTATTTAATTACAATCTTCTCCGTGACCTGAGATAAAACGTGATAGGAATTTAATAGTATAACTTGAGGAGGACGTTATAATGAATCCTGATTAAGATCTTGATTACGCGACGTTACATGACTTCTTAGAGCCTGATGGTACAACTTTGAACAGACGCGACAACGAGTTAAGGGTCAACCCGAGCTGTACGATGGGGCAAATTTCTAGTCGAGACATTAAGAGGCCTCGCGCACTTCCAACGTACAGAAATCCGGCGTAGAGGGTAAAATGAAGTCTTGGGAAAACTACTCGCGTGTCCGTTGAAGACTGGGACTTTCGCTCGAATCTCTTTTAATAATCAGCAAACTTCCCGAGTGGAATATTTTAATAAGTGCCTCTCTTAATTCGAACTGCAATTTGCTACCTCGTGTGTAAACGTTTGATTTTCTCTCAATCTGCTCTGTATTTAAGAATAATAGATTTTCGCGGAGCAACGCGCAATCTGATTTGTTTTATAGCTACGTTGGGAATAACACTCCGGAACGATTACACGATTAATTCATTTTCGGTAGAACGGGAGAAAAGGAGAATTAGAGCAACGATGTAAATGAATTACGTCTTTCTGGTTACAAGCCACTCGAGAGAGCTTTCGAAACGTCTCTGAACTGACAACAGATGACAAATATCCACGATATATTTAGCCCCGTTGAGATCTTCCGCTTCTTTAAGTATGCAGCGATCCACCTGGCAGATTTTATAGGAACAATTTATTAACTTTCCCAACAAAACAAGAATTTCTCGGATGTAACGATGACCTATATTATAAACGATGTACTCTCATCAATATCGATGCACGTCGATGAGAAGTAAGTCTAAAATTAAACTTGAAACGCTACCTAATGTAATCTAAGATATAAGTAAGTATAAGTAAGTCACCGGTCGCAGGTATATTAAGATGTATAAAGTTATATGACTTATAAGTAGAAAAAGTAAAAATATATAAACTGGAAATATGAACTTTCAAATATGAGAGTTAGAGATATAACTTATCAATAAATATATAAAGTTATATGAAGTAACAATTCTGTTTCTCCGTGCGACATGCCTAGCGCGACTCGTCTATCTTCACGATAAGAGAATATAGTGTTACAAACAATACTTAATTCGAAAATATGATTGACCTAGGAATTCATTAATTAATTCAATCAACTGCGAAACTCGCGCGTTCGCTCGTTAAGCAATCCACGATACGGGGCTCAGCATATCTAAAATACGTTGGCGCGCGAGTATGTATGTGTGTGTATGAGAGAGAGAGAGAGAGAGAGAAAGAGATTAAAAAGAAGGAAAGAAAGATGAAAATTACAGTTTGTTCTTTACTCATCAATTATTTTCAAAATGTCCACCATGTTCGTGAAAACTCTTCGTTCGCTTTCGAATAGGTTTTCAGTCGATAGTTTTTAGATCGATTCCTCGGAAAATTTTCCCTAATATAAAATAAGAATTTAAAAACAAAGTTTGATATCAGAATTTATTCGGAGAACTGTAGAAAAAAGTGGTAGAAAGAAACATTTTGAAAATCATTTATCAACTGCAATCGTTCGTCATTGTTTCTTTTTCTCAATCTCCCTCTCTATTTCTTTTTTTCTTCTCTCTTACATAAACACACACACACACACACACACACAAAGCCACACGTGACACACAAACGTACAAACTTTTCACTTAAGAAAAAACAGTTGACCTTGAAATAATCTTGAGAACCGCCATTCACGTAGTTTCCGAGGTTACCACCATACATCTTTAAAACCGTACAATTCTTATATTCAACATTTATACGTACAACATATATACTTTAGAAGATATTGAGGTGGAAACTTTTCGAATGAATGCCCCGTATAAAGTTATACGAAGTAATAACTTATTTCCGTGCGACCGCCTCGCGCGACTCGTCTGTCTTCGCGACAAGAGAGAGAGAGAGAGAGAGAGAGGAGTACAGAGCGTAACAAGCGATACTTAATTTGAAAATACGATCGGTCTAGGAATTCCTCAATTAAACGAATCAACTGGGGGAACTCGCTCGTTAGACGATCCACGGAGCTCGGTGCGTGGTATATCTAAAATACCTTTTGCGCACGCGCGAATAACACGGCGCCAAGTAATCGGAAAATACGCGCGTCTCGGGGCTTTATTAACTTTGTATCAAATTAGGAAATTAGGAACTTTCGGCTACGGAGGTGTGCTCGCTAACGACATTGGGGGGGGNGGGGGGGGGGGGGGAGGAGAGTAAAAGGTGACGGAACGGCAAAGTGTGCGCACGTACACGCGAAGGCGATGTTTCTACCGGCGACGACTTCGACGACGCGCTGTCTGCTCGACCCTCGAAGGGAACACGATTCTCCCTCTATTTTTCTCCTACTTTTACTGCGAAAAATCCCCGTACCGGTCTGCTGGAGGGGGGAAAGCGAGGAACGCGGGGAAGGAGACGGCGCGTCGCGAGTCGCGTAAATTAAAGCGACGTCGCGATACGATCGCAGCGGCGGCATTATCGGCCGGTTTCTGCCGAGCCTATTACGCGAGATGATTATATTCTCGACGAGCGAGCGCGCGATCGGCCGACGGGATAAGTGGACGTGCACCGAGTGTTGTGCATTATGCGCGATGCATCGTTCCCCCTCATGGGGAAAAGTTGGCCGTCGCGTGCACGCAATCTCGCAGATTGTGCAAAGTTGTCTGGCTGTATCGGGGAATCGAGGACTGCATTCGAAAGGATCCCGAAAGCCAGCCCGCCGCTGGCTGGATGACGATGAAAGGGCCCGGCGCGCTCGCGCGAGCATCTCGAAGGATTCGGGATATGTACGGGAAAAGCCGTCTCTTCCTTTCTCTCTCTTTCGTTCGAGGAAAATCTCGGCTCTCTCTTGCGAATCTCGCGCGTGTCGCTCTCCCAACTTGGAAAGGAGCGCTCGGCAGAGACGTTTGCTATTCATAGGCGGTGAAAAGACGGCATGCACGCGCTTTACCGTCGCGTCCCGACGACCGTAACCGTAGCTGCGCGCGCGCGTTACGGCGCATCGTCGACGGATGTTACGACGAGAGAAGTGCAGTTAAGCCGGTTTCTCGTCTTGCCGAGAGAGAGACATCGAGCGTCTCGATATTCAGACGGAAAATCGCCGTCAGTCACTCGGTGGGTTTATAAGTAAGCGCGTGACATCGCGTGACATCGCAAGGAGGAGGGAAATCTACGCGAAACGCAAATAAGAGCGTGTGTAATTGTTGAAACGTCAACGTCAAAGTTTCCTCGACGGCAAAACTGTCGAGACGCTTGACAGGGCGCGTCACCGAGGAGAAGTGTCCTGTAATTCGACTTTTCGCGAACGAGGATCGGAGATCATTGCGCGAAGAAAACAATCTCAACGCGGTAGAGACGCGGATGGAGATGTGCGAACTATTCGAATCCGAATCCCTGCACAGGGAAAAAGATTTCTTTAAATTTGGTATTTCTATTTATTCGACTAAAATTTGTTACATAGAAACAACATATACTTGTACGAAATATTATTTGTTTGAGTAGAAATTTTATTGTCTCATTCAAGTGGAAAGTCTATTACTTAACAGAAATAACGCTATCGTCTGAAATGATATCTTTTAACCAAGCAAAATATTACTTGGTTACAATAAATATGGATGAAGCAAATAATTTCATTGTAAGAAAATTATCTTTCGCTTCAAGCCAATTTTTTATTTAAGATAAAGATATATAAAAGTCTAACAATCGTATTTATTGGTCGAAACATTAGTTTCTTCGGAGCGTGCCGATGATGAAATTTGTTTGGATGCGATAAAGTTGATTAATTTGGAAGAAATCTTTTTCTCAGTGTTCGAACAACCCTAAGACCGGGGCTGGAAGTCACTCGGACTTAGTTGTCACGAAGCTTATATCTCAATAAATAAAGAAGTCTCTTCTGTACTCCCGAGAAACCTCGCGAGTCGGCGAACCCCGACCGGATCATACGCAGTCTTCCTGTCTTCCTCCACAGACGGCACGAGAGAGAGGCCTTCCATTTCCGAGTGGACTGACGGAGGGAACATTGTCTCGAGTAGACACACGTGCGAAAGCAGTCTATGCTCCGGAGAAATGTTAGTGCGAGAGAGGCGAGCAGCCCCCGCGTACCCGCCAGAAACAACCGTACGTGGCGAAGTGGCGCGGTCGCTTTTTAGTGGTCGTTACTATCGGAGGCACTTTTCTGTAAAGGAGTCTCTCTTCTCTCTTTCTCTCATCTCTAAGACGCCGGCCGATGTGTCGGTCTGAAAAACCGTCTTCTCCTCCGCTTTACGAGCCGCGGGTAAATATACTGCGAGCGGCATAAGTACGGCGCACATTCACCGTCGCGGTGTCTCGGCAATCGGCCGGCAAGAGCCGGGAGGAGGAAAGGAAAAAGAGAAGAAATGGAAGGAAAGATGGACGCGTTATTTATTTTGTCGGGAGAACGGATTGTTGCCTCCTCACTGCCCCGGTCTCTCTTACCGCGCCCCGAGATTCGAAATGAGCCTTCCGTCGACGCCAAAGACTGCATACTAACGTCGGAGCGAGATTAAACGCGTGTAAAAAATAAAAAAAGGAAAAGGAG